ACAGTTGGTGTCCCACAAGGAAGTGTCTTGGGCCCACTCCTCTTTCTCATTTACATCAATGACCTACCAAATGCATCACAGCTACTCAAACCCATATTATTTGCAGATGACAAAACATACATCTTCTCTCACCCAAACCCAGTCATACTGGCTAACACTGTTAATGCCGAATTGCAGAAAATAACTACCTGGATGATGACAAAAAAGCTTACCCTCAATACTGACAAAACCTATTTCAGTTTGGAAACAGAGCTGCAAATGTTCCACTAAACACAATGCTAAATGGTTCACCCATCACAAGACTCACAGAGAGGAAATTCCTAGGAATCCACCTTGACAGTAGCCTCAGATTCCAGACACACATACAACAAATTTCTAAGAAAATCTCTAAGACAGTAGGGATACTATCAAAGATACAGTACTATGTTCCACAATCAGCTCTCCTGGCACTGTATCATTCACTCACCTACCTTTATCTCACATATGGAATTTGTGCATGAGGATCAACAACATTAAATCACCCAAGACCACTAATAACCCAGCAAAAGGATGCAGTCAGAATGATATAAATTCCCACTCCCGACAGCATACTCCACCAATATTCAAGTCTGAAACTGCTCACTGTTAAGAACATCCATACTTATTCATGTGCCTACTACATACATAGAACACTACATTCAAACATAAACCCTCCACTCAAACTTCTCATCACCAACCTTAACAGGACACACGACCATAGCACATATCTCACTGTATAAAAACTCTGTGCACATAAAGGGCCCCAAAATTTGGAATTCATTACCAGTAAATACTAAAGTAACCAGGTCTGAACACCAATTTAAGGCTCTTCTCAAAAGCCACCTACTCACCTTAAACTACATACTCAGTATTCAATATTTAACTTTACCAAAAATCTCCCAGTTACCTATTACCCAAAACTGCCTTACACCCAATTGTAGCATTCTTGTACTGTGAACTACTTTTAACAACTCACAATGTTATATTTCCATAATATAATTTGAATATTTATTTTTGAAACTATTGTAATTAGAGTAAAATTACTGTCAACTATAAATATAAAAAAGATGTACAACTTAAACAAACTATGATCAATTTCTTTAGTATTAAGTAGTCTGTAAGCCATTAAATTAAGTCTGCCCATAATACCTAGGCATGATAGTGGCTCTCTTTGCACTGCAACTCATTATTGTAATTTCATAATCTCAATGTAATCTTGCAAAGAATTAAATTTTGTTTGTTTGTTTGAAGATATTTGGATTTTAGTTTCCATATGATAACTTGTGAACATCTCCTCTGATTACCTTCAGATCTTCACTGTTAATATTTAACTGCATTATCAACTTATTCCATGCTCTGCACTATTCCAGTCATGTGCATTGAGGCACAGGGGACTGCGATTATGGAATTCAGGATACCTTCTTTGGGTCGTGCAGCTACCGGATTACATCTAGTTGGACCTGCAATTTCCAGAGTGTTATGTGCTTGTAATATCCCTTTCAGTGTTGTTGAAAATGAACAGCTGAAAAAACTTGTAACATTGTTTAGAGGAGAGTCACATAAACCCTCAGCAAGGCATGACATTGGTGGATACTTTCTGGATGAGTTGAAGAAGGAATGTTAAATGGCACTGGTTTCTGATCTGGAGAGAGAAAATGTTACACTGATACAGGATGCCTGGGTCTACATCCACACTTAGCCCATCATTGGAAAATGCCTTCTTAATGGCACCACATCATTCTTCATGCATTCAGTTGATACCGGATCACAAAAGAAGACTCCTGTTGCGATATTGCAGAAAATGCAATTGACTACCTTGAGGCAACTTATAAGGTGAGATGTATGCTTTAAATGTTGTGTACTGTCACTGTGTATACTGTACTGATTTTTTTGTATTGACAAAGGACTATATTTGTATACTTATATACTGAGATCTAAAATCATACAATTTTTGATAGCAAATGTTTGTTTAAATACTGTTCTGTCATTGTATGTAGTACTGTACATCATACAGCACTGTAGCAGCATTAAAAGAAAATGGTGTGGTGCCAGTAATAATATACTGTTTGTATTACGTAACATTTTCATACCAATGTTAGCCAACTACAATGCATGATATAGCATCAGATATGCAATTACAGTAATGCAGAGAAATATTATTTCTATTGAACCATATTATAAAGTAATATTTGACATTATTGTACCCTGTTTTGAGTTTACTCTGTTCAGTACTTTGGTACCAATAGCAGAACATATTTCATTCTTCAAAATTTGGTTATGGGTTGTTAAAACTTCACATCCTTTTATTTTTCTACTTTTTTCAGGTTATTGCATTTTGTTCAGACACTGAAAAGATGGTGGTTTCAAGGAATGAGCTGAGGGATAAATTGGAAGAAAAGAAGAAAGAAGGTACTGCAGGAAGGTGTGACCTGTTAATGTATGGATGTCCAGCACATTACTTAAGTCTTGTTGAAAAGGAAATATCTCCCAAAACAGTGTTAAGTCATATTGTTGAAGTGCAAAAGTATTTTAGGAACCACCACCAGTCTCAAGCTTGGTTGAGAGGAGGAGGAGGAGAGACTGGCACCACAAATTCCCAGTGACATGGTGGAATAGCCAAGAAGTGTGCATAGAAACATTTCTCAAAAATTGTCAGAAAGATTTTGAGATTTGTTTTGAACACCATAATGTCCATTGTACATAATGAAAGCATTTAAATGGAGGCTGAAATAGTGTCTGTCACATTCAGTAAGTTACAGAGAGATGACTGCGTGTTGGGTGAATGCATGCAAGTGTGCCTTCACCTAAAAGATGCACCTGTGCTACATAATTACAAAGAAATCATTTATAAGAGTGTGTGACACATACTCACCTTTTGACATATCAAGCACTTCACAAGTAAGAAGGCAGTAAATTAACCATGGAGCTACTGAATGGCTGACACAGATCATTGAAGATGTTTAACCACCTCTCCTTGCTTTCTCCATTGGTGATGAGGATATGTACCCTAAATCAAAGCCTACACCAAAAATAACACACTTTCTCCCTGGTCAAGTGGTGGAAACTCATGAAAACAAAAGCAGAAAAATCTACCACTTTAGTTTCAACTAAATAGCTTTCTAGCAAGCTCTTCTTCAACTGGGAGGATCTTCTCTACTTTTGGGCAAATTCATACTAAATTAAGAAATAAACTAGGTAACGAAAAGACTGACATATAATAGGATGCTTCAAGGTAAAGGCAAGACCTAGTAAACATTACAATGCACACAGTAATACCCTTCATTCATCAGTGTCGTATCAGTCTGGTATTAAAAAAAGTGGGTTGTATCTAGCAAACTGTTGTTTAATTTTTTTTTTAACACACTGGCTGTTTCTCACCAAGGTAGGGTAACCCAAAAAGAAAGAAAAAACTTTCATCATCATTCAACACTTTCGCCATCACTCACACAATCACTGTCTTTGTGGAGGCGCTCAGACATGACAGCTTAGATGTCCCTCCAAACTGTCAATATCCCAAACCCCTCCTTTAAAGTGCTGGCATTACTTCCCACTTCCAGGACTCAAGTCTGGCTAACCGGTTTACCTGAATCCCTTCTCAAAATATCACCCTGCTCACACTCCATGCTGTATAGCCCTTGTGGTTTAGCACTTCTTTTTGATTATAATAATGCTCACACTCCAGCTCATCAGGTCCCAAAAACCATTCGTTTCCATTCACTCCTATCTAACATGCTCACGCACGCTTGCTGGAAGTCCAAGCCCCTCACCCACAGAACCTTGTTTACCCCCTCCTTCCAACATTTTTGGGGACGACCCCTACCCCACCTTCCTTCTACAGACTTATATGCTCTCCAAGTCATTCTACTTTGTTACATTCTCTCTAAATGACCAAACCACCTCAACAGCCCCTCTTCAGCCCTCTAACTAATACTTTTAGTAACTCCACACTTCCTCCTAATTTCTGCACTGCAAACTCTCTGCATAATATTGACACCACACATTGCCCTTAGACATGATATTTCCACTGTCTCCAGCCTCTTATGCCTATTCATTTTTTCATAACTGCATTGAGCATAGACAGGCAAGAGTTGGCCCCTGGGGGTCAAGTGGGAGGTTTGCTATCTCTGGGAAGAGAACCTCTATACTTCTCTATGGTCATTGGCTCTGTGCTTGCTCAGTCCTTCATGAGTGCATGTCTCTGGGTATTTTGTCCTGACTGGGCACTGGACATGGTCTTAACAAGGATTTTCATGGAGCACGTTAAACTTGTGGACCATTTCCATCCCTGGCTCATAGGTACCCCTTCCTGTCAGTTGTGATCTTTCCAGCTGTATATAGTGGAACACATCATGCACTAGTGTTCCTAGTTACACTCATTTTAGACTTCTCCACAGGTCATTTGTCTCTTATGCACTATCTATAGCCCCCCTCTTCTTGACAGTTAGTGCTTTGAACCACCAGAATGCACGGCATCCTGGGCCTTACAGGTGTCTTCTTCAGGGCCAGTGGTCATACTTTTAGTGAGCTGTAACAGAGTTATTGTCTTGGTCCATTCTTCTGATGCTTTCTTTGGTAGGTTTCATTTAGTCTTAGGGCCATCACAGTCCTTAAACCCTCCAACAACAATTGTTGATGAAAATATCCATAACTGCTTTTCAAATACTGTATTGTAGATGTACGTAATGCTTTAATCGTATGTAATCATTAATTGTTTGGCATATTGGAAATGCATTTTGAATTTTTGGTAATTAATCAGTCAATTTTAGTGTTTGGTAGGACTAGGTTCAGTATAATAAACAGTACAGAAAAATTTAAATATTTCCAAAATAACCCATTTTTTATATTAAATACTCTAAATTCCATTGTGGTCACTTACAGTTAGAAGACTTTTACTCTATATAAACCCATCTATGTTTTATATTGGAAAGTAAAATGCTTATTACATTATATTGACTCACCGAGTTTTTATACCTTTTTTATAGCCTCCAAGATCTCCTCAGGAATATGAAGAACCCAAACAATGGGAGGAAGAGCAACCAGAACACACCCGGGAGTATGAGCGGGAACGAGAAAGGGAGAGGGAGAGGGATCAAAGGAATTATAGAGTTGAAAACAGAGACAGGGAAAGAGATCGGGAAAGAGACAGAGATAGAGAGAGAAGGCGTTCTGTTGAAAGGTCCTGGAGTAGAGAAAAATCTTGGGAAAGAAGTGAACGCAGTGGTTCCCGAAGAGACTCGAGACGAGACAGTGCCCGGGAAGGAGAACGAGAAAGGGACAGAGATCGTGAGCGTGAAAAGGAATTTGAAAGAGATCGTGATAGAGAAAGGGAATATGATAGGGAAAGGGATCATGAAAGAGATAGAGAAAAAGATAGAGATAGAGAAAAGGACAGGGATAAAGAGAGAGAAAAAGAAAGGGAGAGGGTTAGAAATAGAGGTAGAGAAAGGGATAGAGATCGAGAACGTGAGCGACGTCAAAGCCGAGAGAGCAGAGAACACTTTGAAGAAGAGAGAGTACCTACCCAAGAACTTCCACCCCCTAGAGGAAGGCACAATATTGAGTACGTTTTGTATATAAAATAAAATTTTAACTTAAACCTTAATTCTAAGAAAAAATTGGTTATGTAATTGTGTGATAGATTTGTGAAAGAAGTTTTGTGTTAGATTTTTAACTCAAATTCTATTTTATATATATATAGTAGTAGGTTTGTAGACAGCAACCACCCAGGGAAGTACTGCCGTCCTGCCAGATGACTGTGAAACAGAAACCTGTAACTGTTTTGCATGATGGTAGGATTGCTGGTTTCTTTTTCTGTCTCATAAACACGCTAGATAACAGGGATATCTTGCTACTCCTACTTACACTTTGGTCACACTTCACAGACACGCACATGCATATATATATACATACATCTACGTTTTTCTCCTTTTTCTAAATAGCTCTTGTTCCTCTTTATTTCTTCTATTGTCCATGGGGAAGTGGAAAAGAATCTTTCCTCCGTAAGCCATGCGTGTCGTATGAGGCGACTAAAATGCCGGGAGCAATGGGCTAGTAACCCCTTCTCCTGTAGACATTTACTAAAAATGAGAAGAAGAAAAAACTTTATAAAACTGGGATGCTTAAATGTGCGTGGATGTAGTGCGGATGACAAGAAACAGATGATTGCTGATGTTATGAATGAAAAGAAGTTGGATGTCCTGGCCCTAAGCGAAACAAAGCTGAAGGGGGTAGGGGAGTTTCGGTGGGGGGAAAAAATGGGATTAAATCTGGAAGTATCTGAGAGAGAGTTAGAGCAAAGGAAGGGGTAGCAGTAATGTTGAATATCATTTATGGAAGGAGAAAAAGAGAATATGAAATGTAAATTCAAGAATTGTGTGGATTAAAGTAAAGGTGGATGCGAGAAGTGGGTCATAATAAGCGTGTAAATGCACCTGGAGAAAAGAGAGGAATGCAGAGAGAGAGAGATTTTAGGAGATGTAAGTGAATGTATAGGAGCCTATAACAAGGAGAGAGTAATTGTGGGTAGGGGACCTGAATCGCTAAAGGTAGGAGGAAACTTTTAGAGAGGGTGTGGTAGGTAAGTTTGGGGTGCCAGGAGTAAATGAATAATGGGACCACCTTTGATTTGAAACTTTGATATAGAAAGGGGTTTAGTTATAGGTATTACATATTTTAAGAAAAAAGAGGATAAATAAGTAATAAAAGATATCTGATGTAGGGCGAAATGACAGTAGTTTGTGGATTATGTATTGGTAGATAAAAGACCGTTGAGTCAGACTTCAGGATGTACATGTTTATAGAGGGCCACAGAATATACAGATCATTTTTCTAGTTGTAGCTACACCTGAGAGTAAAAGGTAGATGGGATACAATGAGAAAGAAGCATCAGGAAGAGAGAGGTGAAGGTTTTAAAACTAATCAATCAGGAGGCAGTTGGTGGTAAGATATAAACAGCTATTGGAGGATAGATTGGGGCTAATGAAGCATAGCAATGGGGGTCAAAGAGGTATGGGGTAGTTTTAAAAATGTCTGTTAGAGTGTTCCCGCAGAAGTTTAGTGGTTACAGGAAAGTGGTGCAGGGAGGACAGAGGAGTGATTGGTAGGGAACGATGAAGTAAAGAAGCGTAGTAAGGGAGAAAAAGTTAGCATATGAAAGTTTTACACAAGTAGAAGGTGATTCGAAGGAGGGAAGAGTAGATGGAGAAAAAGAGAGAGGTTAAGAGAGTGGTGAAGCAATGTAAAAAGAGAGGAAATGAGAGAGTTGGTGAGTATGTTATCAACATATGTTGTTGTAAAGTAAGAAAAAGTTTTGGAGTGATATTAACAAGTTAATGAAAAGCCCAGAGACACAAATCATTTTGTCAGTTAAAAATAGGAGAGTAGGAGTTTTAAATGGAGAGTTAGAGGTATTGGAAAAAAAAAAAAAGAAAAAATGGAGGTGGAATATTTTGAGGAATGGGTTAAATGTTGATGAAGATAGGGAAGCTGTGATTCGTGTATGGACAAAGGAGGAACAACATCTTGTAGGAGTGTGAAGAGCCAAGTTGTGAGTGTGGGGGAAGTTAGTGAGGGCAGTAGGTAAAATGAAAGGGTAAGGCAGCCAGGATTGGATGGGATAAAGATAGAAATGTTAAAAAAGCAGGTGGGGATATAGTTTTGGAGTGTTGGTGCAATTTATTTAATAAATGTATGGAAGAGGGTAGGTACCTAGGATTGGCCATAGAAGCATGCATAGTTCCTTTGTATAAAGGCAAAGGGGATAAAAAGAGAGTGCAAAAATTTATAGGGGGATAAGTCTGTTGATATAACCTGGTAAAGTGCATGGTAGAGTTAGTTATTGAAAGAATTTAAAGAGTAAGACGGGAGAATAGGATTAGCGTTGAACAAGGAGCTTAGGAAAGGTAGGGGGTGTGTGACCAGTGTTTACAGTGAAACATATAATGAACAGTATTTAGATAAGGCTAAAAGAGGTTCTTTGTGGCATTTATGATTGGGAAAAGGCATGATCAGGTGGATAGGGGTAATGTGGCAGATGTTGCACGTGTATGTGTAGGCGGTGGTTTACTGAAAAGCATGAAGAGTTTTTACGAGGATAGTGAGGCTCAAGTTAAGTATGTAGGAAAGAGGAAAATTATTTCCCAGTAAAAGTAGCCTCATACAAGGATGTGTGATTCACCGTGTGTTTAAATATATTTATAGATATGGGGTTGGTAGGAGAAGTAAATGCAAGGGTCTTTGACAAGAGCGTTGGAGTTAAAAGAAAAGAATCACACATAATGAGGGAGGTTGTCCACAGTTCTTCTTTGCTGATGACACTGTGCTCTGGAGATTCCTGAAGAGAATTTGCAGAGATTGGGTGGATGAATTTGGTAGGGTGGTGCAAAAGAAGAAAATTGAAAGTGAATACAGGAAAGAGTAAGGTTTATAGGATACAAAAAGATTAGGTGATGAAAGTCATGTTGTTATACTCATGCATATGGAGGGAGAGAGTATGTAAAGGAGGTGAAATGTTATACAGTGGGAAACATTTGGGTGCGATTTGAAGTGTCAGCGGATGGGTCATAGAAGATGAAGTGAATCCATAAAATTGAGAGGGGAAAAGGGTGAGTGGTGCCTTAGGAGTCTTGGTGGAGACAAAGAACTTTGTCCTGGAGGCAAAGAGGGGAATGGTATAAACCTTGGTAATAAATACCGACAAGTTGGTTTAGAAAGACACTAGCCAAACACTATAACATATTTATTAGAAAACGTTTCGACCCGGGACCTTGATCACCTCTAAGGGGAATGTATGAAGAGATAGTTTTACCAACGGCTCTTATATGGGTGTGAAGCAATGGGTGATGAATGTTGCAGCGAGGAGAAGGCTGGAGCAGTGGAAGATGTCATGTCTGAGAGCAATGGTATGGTGTGAAAATAATGCAGAGAATTCGTAGTTTGGAAGTTTTAGGAGGAGGTCGGGATTACCAAAACTGTTGTCGCAGAGGGCTGAGGAAAGGGTTGTTGAGGTGGTTTCGGACATTGGAGAGAATGGAGCGAAACAGAAATAACTTCTAAGAGTGTATCAGTCTGTAGTGGAAGAAGGCGGGGTATGGGTCGCACTAGGAAAGGTTGGAGGGAGGGTGTAAAGGAGGTTTTGATCAGTGCCGAGGGGCTTGGACTTCCAGCAGGCATGACCGTGAGCGTGTTTGATAGGAGTGAATGGAGACAAATGGTTTTTAATAGCTTGACGTGCTGTTTGGAGTGGAGCAAAGTAACATTTATGAAGGAGTTTCAGAAACCGAGGCCCGGGACTTGAGTCCTGGAAGATGGGAAAGTACAGGTGCCTTGCACTCTGAAGGAGGGTGTTAATGTTGCAGTTTAAAACTGTAGTGTAAAGCACCCTTCTGGCAAGACAGTGATGGAGTGAATTATGGTGAAAGTTTTTCTTTTCGGGCCACACCCTGCCGTGGTGGGAATCGCCAGTGTGATAATAAAAAAAAATAATAATAATAATATAATATATATATTTATATATATATATATATATATATATATATATAGAATACATAATATATATATATATATTATATATATATATATAGTAATATATAGTATTTTTTTTTTTTTTTTTTCAACAAGTCGGTCGTAGCTCCCCCACCGGGGGGGGGCAGGGTGACCCAAAAAAAGAAAGAAAATCCCCAAAAAGAAAAATACTTTCATCATCATTCAACACTTTGTACCACACTCACACATTATCACAGCTTTTGCGCAGAGCGTGCTTCAAATACAACAGTTTAGAAGCAAAATACGTATAAAGATCACAACATATCCCACCCAAAACTGACATATCCCAAACCCCTGCCTTTACAGTGCAGGCATTGTACTTCCCATTCCAGGACACAAGTCCGACAATAAGAAAATAACCGGTTTTCCCTGAATCCCTTCACTAAATATACCCTGCTCACACTATGAACCAACAGATCGGCATGTCCCAAGTTTCTTTCGTCTCCATTCACTCCTATCTAACACGCTCATGCTCGCTTTGCTGGAATCCAAGTCACCCTCGCCCACAAAAACAGCCTTATACCCTCTCTTTCCAAACCCTTTCGAGACACCCCTACCCCTCTTTCCTTCCCCTATAGATTATATGCCTTATCCATGTCATTCTACTTTGATCCATCCTCTCTAAATGACCAAACAAACCACCACAACAACCCTCTTCTGCCCTCTGTCTAATGCTTTTATTAACCTCCACATCCACACCTTAATCCCTAATTCCACACTCTCCGAATTTCTCTGCATAATATTTTACACCCACACATTGCCTTAGACAGGACATCCTCGCACTGCCTGCCTCCAACCGTCTCCTCGCTGCTGCATTTACCCACCCAAGCTTCACATCCATAATAAAGTGTTCTACTAACTGTACTTTCATACATTTCCCTTTCCTTTGCACTCCATAGATAACGTTTTTGACACTTCCCATATACCTCAACGCACCACTCGCCTTTTTCCCTCCTCAATTCTATGATTAACCCTCATCCTTTTCATAAATCCATTCGCCGACACTTCAACTCCAAGTATCTGAAAACATTCATTCTTCCATACTTCTCCCCCAATTTGATACCAATTTTTCTGTTATCTAAAATCATCTTGATACCCTCATTCACTTACCTTTTCTATGTTCACTTTCCACTTTCTACACTTTACACTCATTCTAAACAAACTCATCCTCGTTTTTTGGCGGGGGGGGGGGGGGGGGGGGCTAGGGGGGAGTGTGGCAGATGTTTTTACATTTAGAATCCCCATAGGGCTGGGCACAGTATCATTCACAAAAAGTAACTGTGTCAATACCCATTTTGAATTTGATTTCCCCATATTTAATCCCACCCCTCCCCCGAACACCCTAGCAGTTTACTTCTTTTACAACCCCATGGGCTATAAATATATTAAACAAACCGGCGAAGTTTGTGACATTAGGGGCGACACATCCCTGTCTAAGACCTACTTTTACCGGGAAGTATTTCCCTCCTTTTCTACACACCCAACCTGAGCGTCACATCCTCATAAAAGCTCTTTACAGCATTTAGTAACTTACCACCTATTCCATAAACTGCAACATCCGCCACATTGCTCCTCTATCCACTCTATCAGGAAGGGGGTAGGCCTGGGATGGGTCAAAATCCTTTAATGCAATATTGGGAAGAACTTCACTACGCGTTGTATCTAAAACGTTCACTTATATGCTTCAATTGTAAACCCTTGATCGACCACATCCCCTACCCACGTCTGATACCTCTTGCTCATGGGGGCCGCAATTCTACATTCTGTCTTACCTCTACGCTAGGTACTTTCAGTTATAACTCTACCTGTATAACTTTTCCTGGTGATACTCATTAAACTTATCTATAATTTTTACAATCTCTTTTTGTCCCATTCTCCCTTTATATAAAGGGACTATACATGCTCTCCCGCCAATCCTAGGTAACCTTCCCCTCTTTCATACATTTATTAAACAAAAGTACCAACCACGACCACACATATCCCCACCTGCTTTAACAATTTCTTGTCCCATGAATCCCATCAGTTCCAGCTGCTTTAAATTTAAAACCCCCTTTCATTTTACGTACTCCCTCACGTACCTCCCCACACTTACATTCTGCTCTTCTCACTCCTAAAAGATGGATACCTCCCTGACCAATGCATAAATTACGCCTCTGTTTCTTCCTTAACATTAAAATTTCCTCAAATATTCTCGCCATTTACCCAATCCCTCCATCTCCCCATCTTACTAACTCCCCTACTCTGTTTTTAACTGACAAATCCATATTTCCCCTAGGCTTCTTAACTTGTTTAACTCACTCCAAAATTTTTCTATTTTCATTAAAATTCTTGACAGTGCCCTCTCCCACCTATCATCTTTCTCTCCTTTGCACTCTCTCACCACTCTCTTTACCTTTTCTTTCCTCCATATACTCTGCTATTCTTATAATGCACCTTCTGCTTTGTAAAAACCTCTCATAAGCTACCTTATTTCTCTTTATCACAACACCTTTACTTTCATCATTCCACCAATCACTCCTCTGTCCTCTTTCCTCTGCCCCCACCCTCCTATAACCACAAACATCTGCCCCCAAATTCTAATACTGCATTTTTAAAACTATTTCCAACCCTCTTCAACCCCCCCACATACTCATCTTTGCCTAGCCACCACCAATCTGCCAATAGTCCCGCTTATATCACACCCGAACTTCCTGCCTCCCTTAGGTTTACACACTTTCACCTCCCTCTTACTTGTTGTTGCCACCCTTCCCTCTTTTCCCAATCTACCTCTTACTCTAACTGTAGCTACAACAAAATAATTTGGAAATTCCGATATTCATCTTGCCCCTCTATACAACATGTAACATCCTGGAGCCTTACCCATCAACCTTTTATCCACCAAATTCACATAATCTAATACACCTACTTATCATTACGTGCTCACATCATACCTTATATTATATCTCTTTATTCTCTATCCTTTCCTCTTTCTTTACATACCAAATATTTGAGTATTCAACTTATTACCAAAATTCCTCTTATGCTCTACACATTTAGCTCAATTAAAGGCTCGCCCATTTTACCTTTCTACCCCTGGCACGGCCAAATTTACCTACTACTCTTCCATAACATTTTTAATTACCCACTTTAGCATTGAGAAAATCCCGTACCCAACCACCATTACTCTCACACTTGATTTCAAAAACTCCCCACGCATTCCCACATCCCGAAAATCTCTCCTCTCTCCTCTACACTCTCATCTTCTTCCAGGTGCATACACGCTTATTTATAACCCACTTTCGCACATCCAATATCTTTAATGTCTAATCCTTCCACACATAATCATAATATATGATATAATCCCTAATATAGATAATATATGATATATATATATCTATATATATATATATATATATAATTTTTTTTTTCTGTTTTATTGTATTTTTTGTAAATGATATTCTCATACAATCACAGAGAGAATATGTAATGACAGACGATCTGATAGATTCGATAAGTCAGGTCGTCGTCCCCACAACTCCTGTTGATACTCAGCCAAGATTGCTAGCCTGAGCGTCTTTCTTCATGTGAGCAATTTTAGTGAAGAAGGAGTCATGGTGGGAGACACTCAAAGATTACCGCGCGTGAGAGAGAAGTCCATGACCAACCGAGAGAGGGAAACGGGAAGTTTAGAGATTTTGAAGTGAGAGAACGCGCACATGTGTTGCCCCACTGCCAACAGAGAAGATATGGACCATTAGTGATGATGAAGATCTCCCTGATTTACCACCAGAAACTGGTGAGGTCGAAGAAGAATACCCACCTGAAGACTGTATTGATGAAATGGTAATGGATGAAAATCAACCAGATGAAGGTAATATTCAAATATTGTACAGTATTAGGGTGTGTAGAAGAGAGGGAGACTACTTCCTGGTAAAAGTAGGTCTTAGACAGGGATGTGTAATGTCACCATGGTTGTTTAATATATTTATAGATGGGGTTGTAAAGGAAGTAAATGCTAGGGTGTTTGGGAGAGGGGTGGGATTAAATTATGGGGAATCAAATTCAAAATGGGAATTGACACAGTTACTTTTTGCTGATGATACTGTGCTTATGGGAGATTCTAAAGAAAAATTGCAAAGGTTGGTGGATGAGTTTGGGAATGTGTGTAAAAGGTAGAAAGTTGAAAGTGAACATAGAAAAGAGTAAGGTGATGTGGGTGTTCCAAATGATGTTAGATAAAGAAAAATTGGATATCAAATTGGGTGAGAGGAGGAGTATGGAAGAAGTGAATGTTTTCAATACGTGGAGTTGAACGTGTCATGCGGATGGATTTATGAAGGAGGATGAGGTTTAATCATAGAATTGATGAAGGAAAAAAGGTGAGTGGTGTACGTTGAGGTATATTGTCTGAGTCAAAAAACGTTATCTATGGGAGGCAAAGAAGGGAATGTATGAAAGTAAAGTAGTACCAACACTCTTATATGGTGTGAAGCTTGGGCGGTAAATGCAGCAGCGAGAAGACGGTTGGAGCAGTGGAGAGTCCTGTTTAAGGGCAATGTGTGGTGTAAAATATTATGCAGAAATTCGGATAGTGGAAATTGGAGAAGGTGCGTGGAGTTAATAAAAAGTATTAGTCAGAGGCAGAAGAGGGGTTGTTTGAGGTGTATTGGTCCATTTAGAGAGAATGGATCAAAGTTAGAATGACATGGAAAAGCAATAAAAATCTATAGGGGTAAGGAAGGCGGGTAGGTGTCGTCCCGAAGGGGGAGAGAGGGGGTAAAGGAGTTTTGTGGGAAAGGACTTGACCTTCCCAGCAAGCCGTGCGTGAGCGTTGTTAGATAGGCGTGAATGAGACGAAGGTAGATTGGACCTGACATCTGTTTGGAGTGTGGAGCAGGGTAATATTTAGTGAAGAATTCAGGAAAACCGGGGGGGGTTATTTTCCATATAGTCGGAACTTGAGTCCTGGAAATGGGAAGTACAATGCCTGCACTTTAAAGGAGGGTTTTGGGATAATTGGCAGTTTGGAGGGATATGTTGTGTAATCTTTACATGTGTATAGCTTCTATACTGTTGTATTCTGAGCACCTCTGCAAAACAGTGATAATGTTGCGAGTGTGGTAAAAGTGTTGAAGATGAATGAAAGTAATTTCTTTTTGGAGATTTCTTCTTTTTTTTTTGGTCCACGCCTGGCCTTTGGTGGAGACGGAGCCGACTTGTTGAAAAAAAAAAAAATAAATTATTAATCTTTTGTCATTTTTTTCTTTTAACATGCGCTGTCCTCCCACAGCATGGTGGACCGTGAAAAAGGAGACTTACACTATCACTATTGCCAGAGGCACTCAGATATGAAGATTCGGATATCCGTCCAAAGAGGAAATACCAAACCTCCTTAGGAGTGGCAGTTGCTGTCTTACCAACCGATCCAGACCTGAGTCCCAGGCTAACCAGTTTTTCCCCAATCCTTTCACAAAATTATTGCTTGTGTATTTCACACTTCACACCCAAAAACTAATTGTCTCCACTCCTATCTAACAGAACACGCTACACATGTCTGCCATATATTCAAACAACATTCTTTCACGACAAAACCTCCTTAACCCTTTTCAGGGTCCAAGGCCAAAATCTGAAGGTCACGCATCCAGTGTCCGCAAGAAATTTGAAAAAAAAACAATTATTTTTTCCTTACAAATTAAAGAGCAATATTTTTGTGAAGGTAATAAAACAAAAAAAATCTAGAATCTGATCAGTACTTACAGAGATACAGTGGCCAAAAAAGATATTGTAGAAAATGATGTGGTGGCGGCAACATCGACGAATCCACATACCGCGTATTATATTAATTTGTTGTTTTAGTTCTGTATTTTTTCTTTTCTTCCCAATTTTTTTCTATTCCTACTAAAATTTGGGGCCTGAAGACCAATACTGATATAATGTTATATATAAACTCACTGTATTGAACACAATAACCGCACTAAAGTTATTATCATATTATTGTTTACCACTGTTGTATTTATTTACAATTCAACATGCACAAATATTGGTATAATACTAATTTCTATCATATAATATTGACATATTTACAATCACTGGACATAGTTTTAGAAACTGCTGGAGCTTGTGGAACTCCTTGAAACAAGGCGCTACCATGCACAGAGGCACCTTACATTCCTCACACATAAACCGAGTGTCCTTTGCGTCATTGTTGCCGTCGTTTTGTTTGTTGCACAAGACAATGCATCTCTTCTGAGCAAAATTCTCTTTTGAGATTGAGAAGCTGGTGATATGAAATGATCACCTTCTCTTCTCAAACGCTTGGGAATGTTTGTGATGAATTCGAGGACCATGTTGTATTGCTGGTGTTGTTACCTGGTACTTCATATGATTGTCTGACACAAACATGGACAACAAAATTCACCATATGTGTGCGGTCTGTAACCAGTCTTTATTTGGTACATATTATAGCACCAGCATTGAAATTCAAATGAGAATGGAAGAAAAAGTTCATGTACCACTTGTAACTCTTTACGAACACAGTCAACAAAACCAATCTGCATGTCACACTTGTCAACCAAGCGCATGTTTTGGTATAATCAATCACTGTCACTGTTTTCCGAATACGTTCATTTAGTCACCGAATCAACTTTGAGCCACTGTCTTGCATGTTCATTACGGTAATGGTTTGTCAACAATGTGACTCATCGTTTGAGTCATGCCACCGTAATGCCATGATGTAATGCATAAAACACCTGCACGTCATCACCTAACGAACACCTGCGTTGAGACCTGGTAGCATATTTTTATCGTTAGAACGCACTGTGCCACACACAGTCTGACTAGTTCTACTCGCATGGAAATCACTGATAGTAATGGGCTTGTGTACAGATTATCGGTATATAATGTATGGCCCTTACCAAGATAAGGTGCCATCAAAGGGTTTCTCACCTACTCCACCTGATATACCCAATACCATCTTTGTACTTTCCATGTTTACTACCCGTGGTAACAAACAATATCCAACACCAGCCACTGTCACAATCACAGAGTACAAACAATTTTAACAAAGCGTTCCTCTTGCTCGGTATATACTGCTTGAATGACAGTCTACCTTTGAACAAAATCAAGACTCGTCAATTACAAGATTCTTGAATGGATCTAAACGTATATCCTGAAACATTTGTTTGAGATACATAAAACATTTCTAATCTTGTATAACCTGTCACTTCGCAGGCCTGGTTTTGTCAGAGAAGTGCAACTACGTACCAGTAAGATAAACCCTGTTCACTGGTATTATTTCACCTTGAGGATGGGGTACAAATTAGCCGATCTGTGGACCAGTAATGCTTTATATATGCTTATAGACGTGAGGCATAAGCATTATTGTTGCAAAAAGCAAATACATTTCCTGCAACAGTCGTCTCATTTTCCACCTGTGTATCGTGGGACTGGGGTGTTGATAACGAACCGTATTTGCCCATGGTGTTACTGAAAAATACTTATTACTTTCCCTGACATAATTTCCATCAAGGTCTGTCAAGAGAATAATTCAATAGAATTCCAGTTCATTGGCCGTGGTTCCAAGGGGACAGGTAGGTAGAATTCCCACTTTGCGAGTCATCAAAGTGTGAGAGGCTGGGAACAAAAATGGGATTTTTGCTGCCAATCCAGATACGGGTGTGCTGTGATACTGACATCTCATAGGCTGGTTGTACGGGTGGTTGTGGGCGGGCTGGTGGGTGACGCTCCGCTTGTCCCTTGAGAACTTGACAGTCAGCAGCGTGGGTTCACTGCGTGCACAGCGAGTCACGCCAATTGAGCGGTGCCACTACCACCACCAGCCCCACTAACACCATCCTACTGATTTTCTGTGGCCAGTTCAGCCATCCTTGCCAAGTGTAGCCTCATCACATCCTCACTACACTACTCAAAACGGTGTAGGGCCACTTGGGATGGTACTCCGGGATGTACTCCGGGATGAACTCCGTCCCCTAGGCACAGCATAGGGTCGCACTACCCGATGCGCCATGCGGCGGCGAACATACGACCGCTTTCAACTGGTGAATCTGTTTCCTCACTATCACTACTCGAATGATCGTCGAGCGCAATAAAACAACAATCCACGTCAGAATCAACGTCATTACTGAAGTCAGAGGCACAGGCCACGGAAATATAGTTTTCCTCTTAGTTTAGAACACCCGACCATGAGTCACGAGTGGCCCCCCCACACCAGAGGTAGAGTCCGGATCGTCGGGTTTTCTGCACTATTTAACGATATCCTGGTCATTATTTTCGGTCCACTAACTTATCAAGCCCGTAGAATTCGTCTTTCATTTTCCACTTCCATACAGTGCAGAACTCTCACAGACAGGAAGAGGAAGGATCCCAATTCCGGGAGTGAGGAGCTGACTTGCGATGAGACCATGGAGTGAACAAGGGTTGACTGAGCCGGCGTTCCCACAATGCTTATGCAGGCGCCTAGGATTTTTGTTTATGGCGCAGGACCCATTCTCTCATATGTAGGTGCCAATGAGCGCTTTCGCGCTACATTTGACGCGCTAGAAGTTTTGTGCGTAATCTACGGTTTGGACACTCACCGGATCCCAAGGCCGTAGAGGTTGGGGGGGGGGGGTTTTCTACGGACGGACCCTGAAAGTGGTTAACCCCCCTCCATACTTCCAATATGACTCTCTACCACTGGCCTTCCCTCCAGTACAATATCATAAAAACAGGTGAAACACTTAGAATAACTAGCCTGTTTATTTATTTGATCTATGCATCAAGCAATGATTGTTAGCCTTAACCTTTTCACTACATGCAAACCCGTCTCACATTGTTTCTTAACCGAAACCTGGCTCATTATTAGAACATGGC